AAGGGCAGGGAAACAGCCCAATGAACATCACCGCAGAGGAGCCAATCAGCTAGATGTTGCTGGGGCCGCTGTGAGCCAATCATCAGCCGGCAGCTGGAAGTTTGCTGGCAGCTGGATCATCAGCCGGCAGCTGGAAGTTTGCTGGCAGCTGGAAGTTTGCTGCGGCCCCTTTGGCTGTGGCTCTCTACGAAATTCCTTCAGTGCTGTTGAAGCAACAACACATCCCAGTACAACTCTGAACATAAATCATCAGCGCAGAGCCTACTTCCTGGGGACAGAACTTGCAAAATCAGGTCTCAGTGGGAGGCAGAAAGGAATTATTTCTCAGGCCTTTCTTATGTGAAAAAGAATTCACTTTTGAGATCTTTGATCATTTAAAAGGGCACAAAAAAAAAAAATGACCCTTCTGGAAATACACTGCTTCTTTCTACTGAAGGAGACATCTCGCCATTTGTTATTTCTCTTTATTTACTAACATTCACCCTAGTTTTAATTTATCTCAAAATGTGAACAGCCAAGACTACATGAACCAATTTTGCAATTGAAATTTGCTGCAGAACAGAAAATTACGTGAGGAACTTGAAGGACGAGGCATTTGTTGGAACAGGAAATGCAGAATATTACAGCAGACTGGAGTACTTCTGGTAATGATGCATGGGGTGGAAATGATGTGAAAGGGAAATCATTTAACCATGTCAATTGAACACAGGAGAATTCTGTGATAATGACCCTAGGCCCTAGTATTCTGGAGGAGAAAATGGCAGGCATTGGAATGAGGTCACCCCAGTAGGTCACCCATTGGATCTATTGGGTCGCTTGGGTTTGTCAACTTGGTTTGATTCTCCACTAGAGCATAAGTTAGTTTTAATCTCAACAGCCCTTTCACTCCTTGGAAGGTTTTTAAAAAATTATATATATATATACATACATACATACATACATACATATACATATATATGTGTATATATACATGTATATATACACATATATATATATATATACACATATATACGTGTCTATATACGTATATATATGCATGTATATATACGTATATATATAGTGTATATATATATACATACACATACACACACACACACACACACACACACACACGAACCTCTTTTGAATATACCACAAGGTATTTCTGAGAAAGAGCTATTTTAGGGAACAAGAATTTTGGTAAACAAGTTGATGGCTCAATTTGAGTTTTCCAGGAAACCTTGAGTTTTCCAGGTTGAAGCAATGGCATTTGCTAGACAAAAAAGAAAAGGAGGAAGGGCTGTTATTGTTGTCATTGTTTTTCTTAATATTTTCTACCAAGCAACTGCTTCATGATAATAACAAAATGATTTCACTATGGAAAAAAAATGCAGAGAAAAGAATCTGGGGCTGTTTGATTGGCTAATAATGAACATAAAGGACTTCATGCTTGTTGAATGGCAGATTGAAATCCAGTGTGTATTCATGCAGATCTTATGGGGGTGGTATTGGATTGGACCACAAATTAGGGCTGGCATTAATTAGATGGAAGCTGTAAAATACAGAGAGTTCCAATAACCATGATCTCTGATAAGGCCCAATTGAAAGCACCCAGACCATTCAGACAAGTTCTATTCGAAAGCAGAGCAATAAACAACAAAGAGGCATTCAAAGTGTGTGTATGTGTGTGTGTGGGGGATAACGGAGGATTATATAACTGACTGAACTGATATTAAAAAGCCTGGTTAAAAACGACATTAATGCACAGCTGAGTGACAAACATAGACTTGCAGAGAATAATGATTTTTAGAAACGAACACTGGTTAGAGGCTACTCACGTGATCAGAGAAAGACTATACCCCTCAGTAGAGGAAAGTTAGCCCAGCTCAGGTATTGCCCTGTGAGGATATTGCTACTGCTGATAATACTAATAAGCCATAGGTGTGATGTGTATTGTGGTTGAGTTACAGTGCCCTTTTACCGGTTATCCCTTTTACCTGAGTATTTTCACATTCATAATTGAATACAATGTCTGTGCACCCAGTTCGTTTTTTTTTTTCATTCAATGACTGCAGGAAATGAAGTCTTACTCCCTTTATGAAGCACCTCTTCTTCTTATTAATTGTTCATGAATTCTCTTAAGTAATTCATTTCAAAGAACATTGCCTTTTCCAGCATTTTTAGTTTTACTCAGCATACAGGACAAGCACTATTATGGCAACATTGTAATTTTATTAAGTTGATAAATGAACAAAAGTCACCATATAACACATTAACATGGGTGGGTGGCGTTTGAATGGCATTGGAATTCTTGGATGACCTCAGTCTGCAAAACTCATCTTCAGCCACTGTCACATTCCCCTACCCAAGTGGTCTAATATGGTCTTTAGTGACCCTTCTAGCTTTTGGAACTCCATTGTTAAGCTTCCACTAATGCCTTCTCAGTTTTGTTTCAGGCAAACCAAATAGTGCCTCTCCTGTTGGTGCCACCCATGCTTGTCTTTTGCTCAGTCTCTAGTCTCTCATTTCTGTCCCTTCAGGGAAGCCCTGGATCATGAAATAGCTCTTTCCTTTTGTCAGTTGCTTTGTTGCAATTGGGAATGAAATTAGGTGAGAGATATTATTTCACTTCCTTGATGCTCACAGTCTTGGTTTTCTTCTCCATACCCTCATTTTTCAAAAAACCAGAGAATTATGCAGATCTTATGGGGGTGGTATTGGATTGAACCAGTGCTTCTTCAAGGGCCCCTCTGGATGAGCCATTCTTGAACTTTGTCATTCCAAGATCTGTTCTATTCTAGTCTGATATATGTGTGTCCAGCTTATGGGACATACAGGATATGCATCTTGGGTTGCAGTTTATATGGCTTGCCCAAGTCAGGTGAGACAGAACAATCACGCTAGTTAAGCAAAGTACCTTGTTACTATAACCTTGTTATAGTTAGGCGGCAAAGGACAATGCCTAGAATTCATGATGACACTGTCTCCCAAGATTCAGGAAAGCTATGCATGGCAGATGGAGTTTCATCTGTGTACCTCATGCCACAATGCATCTGAGTGATCCCCAAAGCTGTCTACTCTGAGTTTTATGCCTGGGGAGCTCAACTTGCTGAGCTAGAATATTGTAGGACTTCCTGTTCAAGGAGGGACAGGAATAGAGCTTGGGCTATTCCAGGCATATCCTCCTTTTTTTCAAAATACTAAGTTTCCAGCACATTTCATACTTATTTTGAGAACTACAAGCAATAAGTAGGGGAGGAGCTGGATCACCAATGCTATCTGAAGACTTGCCCTGCAACATACAGGGAAGTATTTGATATATGTGAAGAAAGAATCTTTGGGCATCACTAGAACCATGTCCACTGGAGACCCCCCTGTTCAATCTCCTTCTATCTCCTCCAGCCTCCTACTGGTAGCAGCATCTAGGGTGACACACTATGCTCTTTGGGCACCTGAGATATGAACTACATTCACAACAGCTTTTTGGCCTCACTTTCAGAATGGGCAGCAATGTGCTTTGATGCTGGTTTTCAAGATAGATGTCTTAGGTGGTAGAGCATCTTCCTACCTATGGTCCGTATGTCTAGGCTGAACAAGTGCTTTCCCACTGTGGGCCATGAAGGCCATCCTCAGACACCACTGTGCTTGAACAGTGCTTCTCAGAGCCTGTACTAGTGCTGCCTGGGCCAGAGCTGGTGGGTGGGCATGAGTCTGGCTGTCCTATATCCTGCTCAGGGCTGAGTGATCTATCAGCTCCAGGAATATCCCCTTCTGCATCCTACCTGTCAAGAGATAACCATTCTCCTGATTTCTAATGTATAGATTAGTTTTGCTTGTTTTGATTTTGTACATGAAATCATACAGAATGTATTTTTTTGCATATGTAGATTCTTTTGCTTATCTGGATTATTGAGTGTCGCCATAGATATTTTTCATTACTCTGTAATATTTCATTGTATGAATGTATTACATTTCATTTATCATTCTGTTGCAACATGGATATTTGGGTTGTTTCCAGTGTTTGGCAAAGAAAAGCCACATACATGTCAGTATCTATGTTTATCATTTCAAGGAATTGGTCTGTTTTTCTCTCATTTGGAACTTTCTACCTGTCTTTCTCACTATCTCCTTCTCTCAATCTTTTTTTTTTCTTTTTTGGTACTGGGAAGTGAATCCAGGGTGCTAACCACTGACCACATCCTCAGCCCTTTTTTTTATTTTATTTAGAGACAGTTCTCACTGAGTTACTTAGGGCCTCGTTAAGTTGCTGAGGCTGTCTTTGAACTTGCAATCCTCCTTCCTCAGCCTCTGGAGCCGCTGAATTACAGGAATGCGCCATCATGCCCAACTCTTTTCTATATATTTTTAATTCAAGGGTATAACAATTTCACATATTCATACTAAAATTGTCCTTTGTGAAATAATATCTTTATATTCCTATTTTCAAAAGGGATTTCTGATATCAAACATGAAGTTCATATCTACTAAATAGAAGCAAACAAAAGATTCAAAGCTGGTTCTGCATTGTGAGGTAGTTCTCAAGGGATAGCCCAGGGGTTTCTATGATATAAGGTTGGATTTAGTTGGTGACACCTGAGGTGCCTTCCTAGACTGAGACGGGTAATAGAATGAGTAAGAACTGGAGAAACATTCTCATTTCTAGATTTCTGTCTCCAGCAAAATTCAATCACAACCCTTTTGCATTCTGTATCATATTATGTCTGCTACATTTTTGTTTATGCTTATTTCTGCCTGAATGGGGTTTCTTCGAGATCTAGATAAAATATTCCTCTTTTTAAGTTTCTAGTACAAAGTTTTGCATGCGGTAGATTCTCTGCTTCATTTCTTTCCTCAGGATTACCAGGGGACAGCTGCGGAGGTGAGGCTGGAGGCCAGCTCTGAGAATGCATCAGAACGCTTCAAGCATTTCCAGATTTTCCAAGTTTGTTCTTCAATGTTGATGGATTGGTTCAAGGCACCCAGAGGCTCAAGGTGACCACACTAATTAAAAAAAAAAAAAGATAGTTAATGCTTATGGACTCTGTTGACCAGGTGCCATTCTATGTGTTTTATACTTATTCATTTAATCTTTGCAACACTCTTATAAGGTGTTGTCACCCCCCATTTACAAGCGAGGAAATTAAGCCTCCAGTGGATTAAGGAGCTTATCTAAAAGTATTCAACTAGAAGGGACAAACCCAGGAAGCTTTACCAATATTATATAATATGGAGAGCCCCTACTATTACCACTGCTCTACACTGTCTACTAAACGATTCACAGGAAAGAAGTATGTGTTGATTTGTTATCAATGAGGATTACTCCCACTTTCATGAACAGGACAATTTCCTCTGTATGTTTGTTCTCTGCATAAGTCTACATATTACAAATGGAAGCCTTGCTTGGTAGTTGGGTGCAGAATCCTCACCCACAGTGAAGTGATTGAGAACATGGACTTTGGAGTCAGACACCATGGATATGAATCCTGGGTCTGCCTCTGATTCTTTGTGATTCTGGCAATTTACCAATCTCTGAACCCTAATCTCCTTATCTGTATAGGGATAGTAATTTTTACTTTCACAAAATTTTTGAAAACTAAACAATGTATATAAAATACTTAGTGTGCCTGGAAAATGATAAACACTCAGTAAACAGTAATAATTAGTAGTATCTGTGGCACCACAATGGGTCTTTTCTTCCTAGTATTATCTCTCTTCCGAAAAACTTCATCTTAGCTCTCTACAATCAGAACCCTTTCTCTCCTGAATAAACTTGAAACAGACTAACTTTCTAGCCAGTACCCATCTATTTTATTGTGGTAAGGTACACATAACATACAATTAGCCATTTGAACCATTTTAAGTGTACAGTTCTTTGGCATTATGTGCATCCATGTTGTGCAACAATTACCACCATTCATCTCCAGAACTCTTTTTATCTTTCAAACAGAAACTCTACACCATTAAACAAGAACTCCCCATTCCTTGTTGCCGGCAGCCCTTGGCAATCTCCAAGCTTGTTTTATTTCTATGAGTTTGACTACAGATGCCTCATATAAGTGGAAACATATAATACCTGTCCTTTTGTGTCTGACTTATTTCACTTGGCATAATGTCTTCAAATTCCATCCAGATCATAGCAGGTATTTGCTCTCTTCAAAGGTGAATACAAATCATGGCATTTGCAGGTAAATGGTTGGTGTTGGAGAAGATAATGGTAAGCGAAGTTAGCTAATCCCGCCCCCCGCCAAACAAATGCCGAATGTTTTCTCTGATACAAGGAGGCTAACTCATAGTGGGGTAGGGAGAGGGAGCATGGAAGGATTAGATGAATTCTAGACAGGGAAGAGGGGTGGGAGGGAAAGGGAGGGGACAGGGGATTAGCAAGGATGGTGGAATGTGATGGACATCATTATCCAAAGTACATGTATGAAGACACGAATTGAGCGTCAACCTACTTTATATACAGAGATATGAAGAGTTGTGCTGTATATGTGTAATAAGAATTGTAATGCAAAAAAACCCAAAGTTATGTATAAAGATATGAATCGATATGAACACTTTATATACAAAGATATGAAAAATTGTACTCTATATGTGTAATAAGAATTGTAATGTATTTCGCTATCGTGTATTTTAAAAAAATAAAATCAATTAAATAAAAAATAAATAAAAGGTGAATACTATTCTACTTATGTCTATATCACATTTCCTTTATTTATCTGTGGATGGACACTTGGGTTGCTTTTACCTTTCGGTTACTGTGAATAATACTACCATGAATATAGATGTACAAGTATCTATTTGAGTTCCCTGCCTTCAGTTCTTTGGGGGTATATATCCAGAAGTGGCATTGATGGATTAAATGTTAATCAGATGCTTAATTTTGTGAGGAACCACCATTCTGTTTTCCATAGTGACTGTGCCATTTTACCTCCCGCCAGCAGTGCACAAGGGTTCTAATTTGCCCACGTCCTGGAGGACACTTTTTACTTTCCATTCTTTTGATAATAGCCGCCCTAATGGGCGTGAAGTGGTATCCCATTGTGATTTTGATTTGAACTTCTCTAATTATTAGTGATATTGAGCATCTTTTAATGTGCTTATTGGTCATTTGTTCTCTACACTCATTTTTTATTATTTATGAAAAGCATAGTGTTCCCACTTAACTTTGACGTTCCATGAATTCATTCTAGGCAAGTCACAATAGAATACGAAAGGTGGTAGTTTTCTTTATATTTTCATGATACTTCAGTATTCTCCTCTAGTCACAATGCTGCGGAACCCTCTTAGGGCGGTTACTTGTGGCAGATGGCTAATCTCAAGGGCTAGATATTGATCACTCTGACCTTGGACTTCAAAGGGTGCCTCTCCATCCAGCTTGTTGCCATTTTCTGATGGATAAGGTAATATTTTCAGTAAGGGTTATAGTGTGTGAAAGGAGACCTCACATTTTGAATGAATGTCTTTCCTCCCAAAATAGATTTAATGAATATACCTCAAGTAGCACTCGACAATGCTGACCATTCCATTCTTTTTAGATCTTTCTTTTCCTTTGGCTCGTCTCCACACCATCTTCTTCTGGTACTCATCTTTCCCTTTCTAATATTTCTTCGAAGTCTCCTTCTGTCCATCTGTTGAATATTGGTGTTTTCCACTTCTGCTTTGGTTGCTCTTTTTAACCTGTGTATTCTCCCCCCCCCCCACCCGCACTCCATGCCCACCACTTTTACCTCCATTTATGCAAAGGGAATATCAAATCTGTCAGCTTCCCAAACTCTGCTTTGAGTTCCAGACTTACTCATTTATCCAGCTGTTCATTTCCAGCTGGAGGTCCCATAAACCCCTCCAACTCATCATGTCTAAAATTAAACTAATGACATTTGCTGCCCCACACCCCACCAAATTCTTCCTCAAGTCTTCCCTAAATTGATTAAAAAAAAAAAACTGCCATCTACAAGTCACAGAACAGGGAGATCATCCTACATTCCTCTCTCTCCCCACATCTAACTGGTGATTTGGAGATTTATCCTGCCTCATTTATGTTTTTCCGATCTCTTCTCCTCTTTTGCCCTTGGCCTCTGAATTCAATGATGTTTACATTTTATGTTGGCTCCGGACCTGGCACTTGGATAAGACACCATACTTCTTCCTGTTCTTAGAAGATCATCCAAACCATTGTTAGAATTAATGGAGACTGTTGGGAATGATTTCCTGTTCTCTTGCTTCTAGTCTTGCCCCCATCAAACTCTTCCTTTAAATTCCTTCAATCACTATTCATCTTATCATCTCTCTCTCTCCCACTTCAGTAGCTTCCTATCTCTCATTGATTGGGTTTCTAAGCTCTGCATACAAGGTCCTCCAGGATCTGGCACTGATCCAAAGTCAAGTCCGTCTTTAGCTATTTCCCTGCTAGAACTCTTAAGGTCCAGCCCAAGCAAATGCCTACAGATCCCTGAACATACTGCAGAGTTTTACCCACTGATGTCTTTGCACACATTTCTACCTGTTACGGTTTAGAGTCTAGGGGTGCTCCCAAAACTCATGTGTGAGACAATGCAAGGTTTAGAGGTGAAATGGTTGGGTTATAAGAGCCTTAACCCAATCAGTGAATTTATCTCCAGTAGGGATTAACTGAGTGGTAACTGTAGACAAGATGGGGTGTGACTGGAGGAGGCGGGTCATTGGGGCTGAGCTTCTGGGGTGTATATTTGGTGAACTGAGCTTAGTCTCTTTATTTCTTTAATTATGATGTCCTGAGTCCCTTTCCTCCCCCACACTCTTCTGCCATGATGTTCTGCCTTACCTCAAGCTGGGAGGAATGGAGCCAGTCATCTATGGACTGAGACCTCTGAAACTGTGAGCCCCCAAATAAACTCTTCCTCCTCTAATTGTTCTTGTCAGGTCTTTTGGTCACAAGAGCCAAAAACAAAACATACAAACAAAAACCTGACTAAAACACTCCTTATGTATAAAAAGGGTTTTTACCTCCTTGTCTTCCAACCCACATTCCATCCTCCCAGACCTCACCAGGTGGCTTCTCTTACTTGTCATCTTTCCTGACTGTGAGCATTTCAGGACAGTTGACCTTACCCCCATTTGTGCTATGACTCACGCATGATGACGGTAATCCAGGTCTCTGAACCCATAGGATGGAAACTGCCAACCGTGTTTCATTTTTTATTTATATTTACTTATTTTTTTTTGTGGGACTGGAATTGAAAACAGAAGTCTTTCCAGCACTGAAAATAAAATAAAATTTTAAGGGTTAACTTCTGGAAATCTGTCGCAGTATCTTTATTTTCCATATCACTTTCTAATGATCTCTTTTAAGTGTTTATCTCCCAACTAATGTGACACGTGGGCAAGCCTTGGGTCAGATTCTTCTTGGTCTTTGCAATGCCTGGCACGGTACCTGATACCACGTATTTATTGAGCGCCAAGTGTGTGCCATGCACTGCTCTAGAGGCTGCAGAAACCACAAGGAACAAAATTCCTGCTCTCCCTGAGGGAAACCTTTGCACTATCTATGATTTTCCAGTCTCCTTCCTACCCAAAGCCCAATGTTATTCACTGCATTTCCTGTGATTAGTAATAGAAGGGGAAAAATCATTCGGAGGGAAAATATGAACTGTCAGATGAGAATGAAATTATAAGTGGTGAGAGGAGAATTAAATTAAGAGCAGTAAGCATCATGGATTTATAAAAACAAGTCATGTCAGACAAACTTAATTGCTTTTCCTGATAGAATTACCAAATTAGGGGGATGGCAGGGTACAATATCCTGAGAGCAGTTTCCTTCAACGACCAGGTAATGAATATTATTTTTGAAGTTAGCAGAGCCTTTTGAAATAGAATCTGTTGAAATTGTACAAAATGAATTCAAATTGACTTTGATGTGAGTCTGGTTGGCTGACTTGACAACAAATTGAAGAGGAGAAAAGCTAAGGCAATGACAACAACATGGCACCACTGGGCTTAAAGATACCGCCTAG